TTGGTGGACGCATTTTAGAGTTGAAAGATGTTGCAAATGATTTTTTGTCAAAAAAATCCATTGAAGGTATGAATAAATTTCATAAAGGTGTTTAATTTGCATATTCTGCTTTGGATTAACTGCCTATCTCATTTTTCATAGATATTAGGGAGAAAATATTACTTGAAGCCTATAAAAAACTTAATTCAGCAAAAATACTTAAAAATCAAAAACATCATGAAGCAGGAAAACGTGTAATTGACGCTTTGCTGAGATCCAAAGAGATTAATATTGAAGAATTTAGAGAATTATTTGCGAATGAAGAAGAATACGGTGAAGCCTTAGAAGCTAACGTGTTTGCATTTCATCCTTCAAGAAATACCGTGAGTTTCCAATCGCAATCAATAGAATATTATATTCGAAAAAATTATGATGTATTTGCTGATCTAGTTAGCCTCAGTTCTAATTACGCATCAACTTCCAAATAATAAAACGACGAGAAACTATTTGTACGAAATATATGACATCAAGGTTTAACATAATATATCGGAATAAATTTTAGAAAAAAATCTGTCTGAAAAAAAAAACTAACTACATCGACACTTAATTCCGGCTCAAGCCGGTATGCATGCACTTCATCAATAAGATAACGATGCTAGAGTACAAAGATTTCAAATATTGTCAACCCCACTACAGAACAGTGGGGAAAGTATAAACAATGGACAGACGCCAAGTTCAATAGTCTTAAACAATTACTCATACAACCATGATTCATCTCCGGCATTGAACAAGACATGGCACTTAATAGAAACAGTGATTATTACAGGGCCTTTATAACTCTCAAGAAAAGAAGAATTTATCCCGATGTCAGAAATAAATTAAAGATAAGTGAGATTATTCTCAAGTAAGATTACAAAGCCTATAGAGAAATTAAAGAATTCATCATTTACTAAAGAAAGTTCAAGCTGAATGAAAATCCTTGATCAAAGAAGAGTTTTCTAGATAAATTTATGATCTGCAGATGCTTTGTATACATTCACCAATCCTCAAACTATCAAGCAAAAAGTCAAAACTTATTATTAGAATGTTTTCAAAAGAAATACTAACTTCAGAATATAAATCTTAAATAGAAAAAAATTATTAAAGTATAAATAAAAAATAATAGATACTTTTTATTAATTTAAAGAATCTCAATAGAAAAAATTTATAGAAACTTCAAAAAATCTTTTAAACAAAAAGGTATCTTCTTATTTATTAGTTATAAGATGCTTAAGAACCTAGAACTAAAAGAAAAAAATCTTTTTGTTCAGCTTTTTAATATAATTATAAAAAGAAAACCAAATTTTCAAGAAATAGAAAGTATTATTTATTCTATACCAAAGTTTAAATTCTGAAATTTTAACTAGAAAACACTAAATTTATTGTTTTATTAGAAATAAAAAAATACTTCATCCAAATAATAATTAAGAATTTAGCTAAGATATATAAGAAATATAATAATTTCTAATAATCCAACTTTGCTAAGTTATAAGATAAAAGTACAGTTGCATTTATCTGTCTATTAATAATATTTGTAAAGAAACCAAGAAAAAAAAGAATTATAGATTTTTCAAAATACAATTAAATCCTATTATGAGATTAGTCTCAATATTTTTTTTTTAACCTGCTGAAGTCCTGTCATTGAGTTTTTATTTATTTATTAATACACTTATGTATACAAATTTAATTGTGAGTCTATACATTTATGAAAGAAAAAAAATACTATGGCTCAATATTTTATTACTAGAAACTCTGTGCTTGCTGTAGTCCACCTTAGTGAATGCTAGTGTGTCAAAACTCCACAAGTACTAATATTAATAGAAAAGAAAAAAAAATAGAAAATAGCTGTTTTTTAAAGTTTTTTCTGTTATGATGTTGGTTAGTTCTATATATAGTTCCTCAAACCTGTCTTTTGGGTGTTTCTTTAAATCAATTTAGATCTGTTCTGGCTTCAGATCAGTCTTGAAGCTTTTGATAGCCTGTGTGCTGGTAAGTCTGGACTTTGTGATATGGTTCGTTGATTATCTGTATTACTATTGACTCATTTCTTCTGATGTTTAAGTTTTTTATTTATGTTTTGACTTTTTTCCCATTCTATTATAATGTCGTATCTGAGTTTCCAAGCTTCTTGCTTGGCTTGCCCAAACTTGTGTGTTGCTTCTCAAATTGCTTCTAGTACTTTAGATCTGTTCTTTGTTATAGTCTCTGCTACTTGTATCATGCTATGTGTTATAACTCACCTGACTATATCCTTCTATTTGATTTTGTGACATGTTTTTATATTTTCTTTATGTTTTTGTTTTATTTGTGTTCTTTTCTATTTGTTTTGGATTGGTTTTGTCTGTTTGCCTTTGGCTCTTACTATACTTTTTTCTGTCAAGACCTGTATAAACTCTTCTAAAGTCTTGTTTGTGTTGTGCCACATTGGAAAATATGATTATTAGTTTCTTTATGCTGTTTACAGATTTTGCATTTGTTATTGGAATAAATATCAGGATGTCTTTTATTTAGTTTGTCTATGGTAGGTAATTCTCCTATTCATGTTTTAATTCTGAATGATCAGTCCATATGATCTTTTATATTGTTGATGTTGCTATGATTACTGTGAGCATTAGGAGCTCCAGAGTTAGAGGCCAGTGAATTTCTCTGGATTTCTTCTGGTTCAGTCAATCCTGGTTTCTTTGTAATGTTTGCCATTTATTTGTCTATTTATTCTTGAATATTTGTCTTATTAGAAATTTTATTTCAATGTCATATTGTTTTTGATTCCATCTAGTGAATATATTTGTTGATGTAGAGGTTCATATATTTATTGTTATAGTATGTTTAGATTTGTCTGTTAAATTTGTTGAAAACAGTTGAACCACCTTTTTATTACCTAAGATGCCAGAGTGACTCTTTACTTTTGTCCAACTGATTGTAAGTCTTTTAATTTTTATTAGGTCCCTGATAGTACTGCTAAGGATTTGATTTAACTGATATATGTTTCTTTGGTGTCTCCTCTGGGATAGATGCCTATGGCCTTAATTTGTAATTTTATTAATTGAAACAATTATACTATTACAAATGAGTAGTTATACATATATGTTATAGTAAATATTATTTATATGTTATAGCAGACTAATCGACGAGTCTATCATTAATAACTAAAAGCTCATATAATGTGTAGATAGAAGAGTCCATCCTTTTATCATACACAAAAACAAAACACATAAATCAAGGCAGAGGCATAAAAAGATTTGAGCAAGTCTCAAGATAGTTTTCCCTAAAACTACTTATAACTTCACTGTTATAGCAATCTATCCAAAAGATTCGTCTTAAGATTCATCATTTTATTAAGTCATTGAAAGAAGTTACATTTATATATTTTTACACATAGGGTTATTATATAATCACTATGGCTATTCTAGTATTATGTTATACATAAATTGCTTCATGGTTAGCTAATTTTCTATTACCTCAGCTTATAGTTCTTTACCTTTTTGATGTGAATGGATTGTTTGCACATTCTTCTATCTTGTAAGGAGTATGGTAATAGTCAGCAATTGTTTGTTTCACGTAAGCTTTGGTTATATCATAATTTCTTTGACCTTTAACAATGTATAGCTATATATATATTTAAACAAATGCTATGTATCACTACTACTAGTCCAATACCAAAGCTGGAAAGTCATGTGATTTCATCTAAATTATTCCTAGAACAATATTTATTAAGAGTATTCTAGTTATCAGGCTGTTGAATTCAGTATCTTTGATCTCAGTTTTTGATTCTTCGAAGTGGTCCATAGATTTCTTTTCTCATCAAGGCCTTCCGATAGTTAAGTCTATAAAAGCCGATACAGCCACATGTATAAGAAATGGGATTGGCTTATTAGGAAGAGTCTTTTTCTTGTGCACAAGTTTTTGTATTAAGCCATTTGTATACCCAGATGAGTTGTGTTCTTGTTTTGATTCTGAGAGGCATACTATCAGTTTGAGGATCTACTCTTCTTGCTACCATTTCTAGTAATGCAGTTGTGTTAATAATAATTCTATCTGATTTAGATTACAACCTGATCACAATCTAGATATAGACCAGATGCTATATTTAGAAACATCTGTTAGTTTATGGTTACACCAATAGACAGATTCAATTTTTCATATCAGTTTTATATTTGGATGAAATTGAACTTGGATCTTGTGATCTGATCTATGGAGTGCACTATTGATCCATAGGTCTAGAATTAATCTCAATATATTAAATAAAATAATGAAATAAGTTTAAACTCTACTTATAATAAAATAACTTTTAATTAATTTATTCAATTATATACTTCTTATTAAAGAATGATCTAATCCTATTATAGTCAGAAATATTATAGATAAATAGAAAATAATATTTTTTCTAATTTTTTTTTTTTTGCCCTCTGTCATGCTAATTATGTATGCTTTATTAAACATTTATAAGCTATATATATAATATAAGACATTAAAGCTAATTTTTTAACCAACTCACTTATTTTAATTGTTTTATCTTTCTAAATACAACTTTAAAATAATTTATCACTCCATTAAGAGTTCAGATAAATACCCTTCCAACTTTTAATATCATTGCCTGCAGATTACTACTGCAGAATAATATTTTTTTTAAGTAAATCTTCTATAATTTATAAAATTTAAAACAATATAAACTATAAATTTACTATAAAAGAAGAATAAATACTCAACTTTTAGCAACTTAAATTATAAAAAATCTTTTTGCAATAATCTTATAACCAGAATAATCTTAATAAAATTGATCTAGGAATAATAAAGAAAAAATTAAATATTTTTTTGATAATGAGATAATTAGTAGTAATTATATATATAGTAAAATCAATAAAGTTATTTATATAAATAAATTTATTGAATAAATATAAAATCTTAATTGTAATATATAATTAGATGATTGATTTATATAATATTTCAAAAATATGTATTATTAAACCTTATTAAAGATATTATTAGAAAAAATTTAACTATTATTATATTAAATTATATGGATCTTTATATTATAATATTTTAATTATTTTTTTTTTTTAATATTAACCCATTGTCAGGTTAGTTATGTGTGCTTTATTAAACATAATGTAGGCTATACTATTTACAGTGTCACTAAAGCTAGAACACTAACTAACTCACTTGTCTTAGTTTATTATCAAACTCTAAGTGCAACTTTGGAAGTGATTTGTCGCTCCATTTATAGTTTGGGTAAAAACCC